CGATGATCCCTTGTATCGATACCCTCCACATAGGTATCGATACCTCTTCCATATGGTATCGATACTGTTCATATAGGTATCGATACCCCATGCATCAATTCCTCATAATTGGCCTTGTAGTATCGGTACCCACTCAACAGGTAACGATACCCCTTACCCAGAAAATGCTTCTTAGCCAGAAATTTCCAATACTTTACCTCAAACTCTAATTATTTACCTCTCCTTATGCCCTTAAACTTATCCATACAATATAACACTTCATTATCTTCAATATCTCACTATAACTCTTGAATCAAAGAATTTCATCAAATTTTCCATGTGTTCTAAATTCAATTCTAATGCTTTAGACTTCTTAATCCTTCTTATGAGAAGTCAAAAATCTCATCAAAACTCTAAAAACCAAACCATATCAACAATTCATCTTAAAACTCATTTTACAAATCCCTTCCTAAGTCACTCATCTTATTGTTTAAATCCTATATAAGCTTTCCTTAAGCTTATATAACACCCAAAGAATCAAAACCCACCTAGAATTCCAAAAATTAAACAACAACATTAAACTCACCTTCTAAAGCTAGAGCCAACGTTAAGAAGAGAAAAGCAAGAAGAAGAAGAAAAGAGCTTCTAGATAACTCTCCCCCCACGTGTTTCACTCTTATTTAAGGGGAAATATCTTTTAAAGGAAAAGACCATAATACCCTTTCAATATTTCCATAATTACAATTTAATCTAATACTAAAATATTCCTATTTATGTCCTTGAACTTTTAAATTTTCTTACATTGATCCCCAAATTTCAAAAATTATCATTTTAGTCATTTTCCCGGATTTCGGGATGTTACGTTACAAATAAGATTTTTTTTTAAAAGTCATGTGACACTTGTGACTTGTGTTCTAAAACTTATACGGGAAATATTCCTATTTATGTCCTTGGCCAAACATTCCACGTCAATTGATGTTCTACATGTATCAAGAAAAGGTCTACCAAGAATAATAGGCACAACATCTCAGCTTTACAGTCTAAAATAATGAAGTCAGCTGGAAAAATTAAATTTATCCACCCTTACCACCACATCCTCAATTTTACCTTCTAAATTTTCATACGATCTATCAGCTAACTGATGTGTTACCGTGGTAGGTTTAGCTTCTCCCACTCTAAGCTTCTAAAAAACGGACTTAGTCATAAGATTGATACTTGCGCGCGCCCAAGTCACACAATGCTTTCCTAATGTACTGGTTACCGATAGAAAAAGGTATGTAAAACTTCATGGGTCTTTCAACTTATGAGATAATTTATTTGTCAACATTGTAGTACACCCCTCGGTAAGTGCAAATGTTTTGAATTCTCCCAACATTTTCCTTGAAAGAATGTATTTCATAAATTTTACATAGTTTGGCATCTGCTCCAAAGCCTCCACCAACGGGATGTCGATGTGGAGTTGCTTGAGAACATCCAAGAATCTCCTAAACTGATGTTCTTGCCTTTGGTTTTATAAACTTTATGGAAATGGTGGTGGTGGACAAGTTTCAAACAATGGCTCTTTTTGTTTTGTAGCTGCATTCTGACTAGTACTGGGTCGTGATGTTGTTGTGGCATTTCCTTGTACAGTATCCTTCAAAAATGGATTCTTCATCGTCTGATTAGGTGTTTCGTTGTGAACAAACTCTAAACCATATGTTTTTGCAACAATTTTCTTTTCAGTTTCCTCTAACTGAGTATCGATTCTCAAAGTGATTGCTTGCAATGCTCATTCTCGTGTTTTCAAACATTCTCTGTATTACTTGGAAAATTTCTCTGTGGTTTAGAATTCAGAACACTCACAATATGTCCCACGTGATTCTCTAAAGATCTCAAGGATTCGGCCTATCTTTGAATTACAACATCATTTCTTACCATATATTTCTTCAAAAAAATATCTTCACTCGTTCAATACAAAGAAGACAACGATGCTTGATTCTGATGTGGTCTTTGTTGTGGCAAATTTTGGTTGAAACCAGGTGGTCCTTGCATAACATTTGGCCTAGCATTATTAGAATTCTCGGAACCTTGATTTCCCCACCCAAAGTTTGGATATTGCTTTCAATCTACATTATAAGTATTAGAATATGGATTGTTTTTTCCTATTGTAATTCCTCATATAGTACATTGATATTGGGTTTGACGAACATTCATCAAACACATGATCTTCACCATAATAGACTCATGACAGAATAACGATTTTGGTCTGCTTTACCTTGGCAGGCTTCTACATGGTTTTAATCATATTCGCTAAGGAAGATACATGGGCGGAAAGGAACGTAATGGCATCAAGCTCGATGGCACTAAGAGCTCCTTTTCTCGTCCCTATCCTGGTGGTTTATTCTACAATATCATAAGCTTCATTATAAGAAATCCAACAAAGTTCCATTTGTCGAGGCACCAATTATCATCCTCGTATTTGCATTCAATTCATTATAACGTATTGGAAACCATGCATAAGACATTTTTTAAGCAAATCCTTGTATTGTTCCCATGCCTCGTACAAAGTTGTCATTTGCCTGCCTGAAAGGTGTTATGTCATTTCTTAATATAGCATTCATATTAGTTATATTATACCTGCGCAAAAATCTCTGACATGGATCATTACAAGATGTGACTATTCGTGATGGCAAAGCATTGAGCCATGCTCTCGCTCTATCCCGCAAAGAGTAAGGGAACAATTTCAATCTCAAGGCGTCTTCAGGAACACGTTGTTCTCTAAACGAATAGTAAACTTCCAGAAATAAGCGTAGATGTAATATGGGATCTTCTATTGTCACACCACCAAATTAACCCATCGTTTGGAGCATTTGAAACATCATTGGTTTTAGCTTAAATTGTGCAGCTTGCATCTGTTGGTATGACAATGTCAGGATTTAAATCATTCAAAATATAGGAACCACATGTTCTCGATTGGTTGATCCCGATCATCACGCCTAGTAGCAACATGAGGATTTTTGTTTTGAGCAACAAGATTGGCTTGCTCATTTAGAACAGGCTAGTCATCACCCTATTAAGCCATGTTGCATAGTTCTCTTCTCCTTCTCTAGAGAGTTCGATTGATTTCTCCGTCAAAAGGATAATGATTTTCAATCAGAAATACCCTTCACATACAATGGCTAGTGAACCTGTTGATTGCAAAAGACTTAACAAATTAAAATGGATAAAAGTGCAATGACAAACAAATAATACTAATTTCCAGTCCCTTGCAACAGTGCAAAAAACTTGTGTGCAAAATAATGTTACGATAATATGTGCAAGTATATACGTCGAACAATGTAATAAAATGGACATAAAATATCAAATATCAAACTTACAAGGACTGAATGTATGATTTGTTTAACTATTGCAAAGGATTGAAAATTATCTGTTGAATGTCGAAATAAATGTAATTATAAAGAATACTAAAAAACGTGAATTCAGAATTAACTAGCAATCAAGAGTTTGAACAAAGGTTGAATAATGATAATAGTTTTTCTTTAAATCCTTGAAGAATGTTGTAACAAACTTACGATTACTGCTTGCTAAAGCTTGAATGTGGACTGCCAATAGCTAGTCCTAGGGTCACTCTCACTTGAAGACTTTATATGTCTATAGGTTCTCGGTTCAGCAACACTAACAATATCTAACCTACTGCTCCATGTAAGGCTTGGTCTCTAAGCCTAAAGAAGGCTAAGAGAATCTATCGAGTTCTCACTTACACTATCCAATTAAGTTGAAGCACCCTTAACCCTAGCAGATTTAAGAATGACTTAAGCTTCACTGAACAATTGTCATTGTCTTGGCGAAATTCAAAAACATGAAAATCAATTGAGCAAAACAGAGGAAGTAATTGAATATTAAATTAAAAGTCCATCAACATTAAAGAAATAATACAAGTTATCTTAAGCCTTAGTAAAATTAGCTCATGAATGGGTAACATAAAAACATCATCAATGTTTTAACCATCATTCTCAATCAACGAAAAACAAGAAAAAGACAAATGATAAAGCTAAAATGAATCTGGGTTTTGGATTTCTAATTCGATTTAGTTTTGATCTCGAACTTCTCACTTCAATGGAGGCCTTTTGTCAAAGTTTTTATCCTTCAGTCTTGTTCGCTCTTCGATTTCAATTTGATCGTCCTCCTTCACGTGGCTCTCTCTTCTCTCGTATCATTTTTCTCGAGTTTACCTCCTCATTTTTTAACTTAAAAGATAGAATAATTATCGGATAAAATGTAAATACATAATAATAGAAATTGAATTTCAGCTTTTTTTTAGGGCAAATGAGTAAAGTCCATGTATTAGTAAGAGTGAAAATATAAATTTACTTTTCTAAACTCAAAGTTAAAAATAAAAAAGCTAGTAATCCCAACTTGTACTGTTGATTTAAAACTACTGTTTTCACCATAGTTTTTTCTTCAATTTTTACTCGTTTAGTATTGATTTTATGGTTAAAATTAACATTTTAGTTAAAAGTACTTTTAAACAAATTATCAAACGTACCCTTATATTAAAGAAAAAGATTGTTTAGACACTTAAAATGATTAAAGGATATAATAGACACTTATTTTTTAATTTAGCATAAAAGATTCAATAGTTCTCTCCATCAACTTCGCAATCAATTCATCACTATATATATATATATATATACGACTTGTTTTTTCCCGTAAATACAAAAATTATTGTAATCTCTGAATAGAGGAAGGTAATAACGTAAACATTATGATTCCAACTCCAAAATCCAAACCTACTGAATATCATATCTTAATGTAACTGAATGAACTAATTTAACTAAGCCGGCAAATCACTGAGTATTCAACTCAGCAGCAACTTGATAACTGTCATTTACAGTACAAATGTTCACTAAGAGTTTGTTCATCTCTAGTTGCAGTAGCAAAATATCAGTTGGGACTCGACTTTAAGCACCCAGCATTGTCAAAACCAACAGACGCCTAGTTTTGATATCTAGACAGTCAAAATTTAATTCGAAAGAAACTTCGAAAAGCAAGGGCTTTATCCTTGTTCCGATCAAATAAATAACCGACCTTCAATATACATGGTAAATATAACTACTTTAATAATACTTGCCGTATCTTCCCCATATACACAGCTAATGACAATACTGAAAGTCCAGCTGAAATATAAAGCAAAAGAACACCTGAAGTTACTAAAATCCCATATCCTGCGAAACTGCAAAAGGTTTAAAAATGAAGAAAAATTAGTCAAATGCTAAAAGAATGATTCAACCTGGATTGTTAGGGCGTTTAATGTGTTGGTCAAGGAAGCAATTGTATAAACCTGCTATCCCGAGTAGCTAGAAGGATTGTTAATGCTGCCATTTGTGTGGCAGTTTTCCACTTCCCCAGGTTATTAACCGCAACAGCCTGATAATATATCAAACTTGTAAAGAAAATTACAGCCAGCCTCCGAGCATTTCCTCAAGAGAAAAATAAAGATCTGACAAACCTTTAATTTATAAGGAAAAATTAGTACCTCTAAAAGCTTACTATCCTTAGAAGCAGCCCATTCCCTAACGGCAGACATAGTTATCTACAAATAAGTTGCCAGCTATTTGTAAGATGCCTATAAATGATTCGTTTATGTAAAGAAAATATAAGTACATGTTACCTCTCTTCCAATAATGACTATCGATGGAACAATCAGTAGCCACGGCACTTGCCTAAATATGGCAACGTTCACAGGTCTCGAACATAATAAAACCAATGTAGCAGCAACCATAAGCTACATTCAACAGGTCAGAAAAAAATACATAATAGCTATGTTACTCGGACTCAAGTGTGAAATGCTCATTATTTTCTCCCTAAGCTTTTTCCATGTATTTGGATGGTCTTTAAAGGGCCATATCCCAATGCCCATGTCCGAAAATGCATCAGGCATGGGACAAGAGTATTTCAAGAAAAATGAAGTCCAAGCCACGTAGTGAAACAGTTCAAACACGTTAATAAAGCAACTTTGGCAATTAGACTGTCTAGAAGATATCCATAAATTTTAGCATATAAAAGAGAGAAAAAAAACAGACCTTGTCTGCAACTGGATCCAAAAATGCACCAAAGACAGAATGTAGCCCCATCTGAAAGACATAACAAAGAGTTTATTTCGATCAACTGCAGTAACTAAATCATACAAAACAAGAGGAAAAGTGAGACTTCCATCATGTCTAAACCAGGGGTTCATTGAAGCCATACCTAAGGATAGGAATAGATAGTAAGGATTCAAATAGTTACATATATCCAATTTGCTCTTTGTGGATTCAGAAAATATTCAGATATTCTAATTTCAATACATTATCAGAATCCGCTTTACTCTTGAGGAGAACCAATTGGGGTTCAAGTATCCTTTACCAAAACCACTTTACTTTTGTGGATAACAGATTTGGATTCAAAATTTTAAATATCTGTACTGAGTATCCACTTCAGTTTTAGTAATAAACGAACAGCTTGTAAAGCAAATTTGCATATTCGAAATCTGATTTTATAGAAATTGCAAATTTTCAACCCATTGCCATCCCCAGTCATACCTTCCGGGCAATGTACCCATCAAGCCAATCTGTAACGGCAGCTGCAACAAATATACTAGTCGTAGAAGGCCTTCCCCACCAACTATCTACATAAAAGGCTAAAAACATAAAACCATTCAGTTAGTCTCATTGAAGTTTTCACGTTAGCCATACAGTAAGCGATTGCCATTAAAGTTTAAAAGTATGTCACCTATGCATCCAAGGGTTTTGCTAACTAGTTACCTAAGTTACTATTTAAAGTAATACAATAGTTAATAGTTAATTGATGATTATTGATTTATTGAAAATTGTAACCTTAAAGAGCACCCTAAAAGCCTTTGTTAGAAAACTTCTACATCTAATAATCCATAAGTTTCTACATATCATGTAAACAGTACCATATTGCAAACCTATCATCAGTGATCACAATTCACTGGAAAGGCAATTTTCAGAACAAATAATGACTGTAGTTTCAAAAATTATCAAACAATAGCTGAGAGACATCAAACTTTACAAATGAAATTAAAAAAAAATTGGCATATTTCATAACATCACACATGAATTTCGCAAAAAGTAATGATTGAACATCAAAATCACAAACATATGATTTAAACGTACAAAAAAAATACCTTACAAACCTTCATTTATCTTCCAAAACTATAAACTAGACTTAGCGATTCGTCTATTTTGTGTTATAATTCCTATTTTATAGATTTTTATACATTCGCATACTGGTATCTTGTTCATATTTCAGTTATTTTCTCGTCACGTCTGGCAATACAAGGCCTAATTTTATAAACAGATTTTAATTAAGTGTCTAAATCATGGAGGCAGCAATAAACCCTAATTGCATTACATCAAACTGAAACCTGATTATCAAATAAATTCAATGGGAAAAAGATTAAGAACATAAAACTCAATAAAAAATAAACTTAACTGAAAATCAGGAGGGGCACGGCAGCGACGCGACCAAGGGTTAAAACAGTAGGCAAAGTAAAAATTTTGGAAGAAGAATTGTCAGAAGAAGGCAAATTAGGGCCGTGCTTGCGTTGTTGGGTTTCTATCAACGGCAACGTTTTGGAATCCGAATCCATATCCGTAAGGATACGATCACATCCGGAAGCCGACTCGTGTAAAGCTCCCTTATTGTCTGCAGAGGAAGCGAAACAGGTGGGAAAGGGAAATCTAAAGAAAGGAAGTAGGTTTTTCTTGGGAGACCGGAAATTGCTAAATTGAGTCAAGGGTGAGAAAGGGGAACTCGTCCGCCGTGATAGGTGGAGTGGTGATGGGGGCCGGGCGGCGGCGGCGGTTGTTATTGTTCGGACACAATGAGCGGGCTTGACGTAGACTGAAGCTGCCAGGCTCAGTTTAAGCCCTGACATTTTGCGGGGTTTTAATTAATATTTGAGTTTTGGTTATTTATGGAGTTTTTAGGTGCTTCACACAATCACACCCTCACGGAAAATCTAAAATAGGATAAACTACACATGAAATTATGGAAAGGGTGATAGAGATTAGGTTGAGATAGATTAATAGGGTTTCAGAAAACTAATTTGGCTTTATGCCAGGCAGGTCTACTACGGAGGTGATTCATCTACTTCGACGACTTATGGAGAAATATAGGGGGGAAATAGAGATCTTCACATGGCGTTCATTGACCTTGAGAAGGCGTATGATAGCATTCCCCGCGATACGATCTGGAAGACCTTGGAAACGAGACAAATCCCAACTGCTTATATCCGGGCGATTCGTGATATGTATTGTAGATCTACTACTTACGTCAGGACTACAGTTGGCGACACCGATGCTTTCCCGGTGGAAATCGAACTCCACCAGGGGTCAGCTCTTAGCCCTTACATCTTCGCCTTGATTATGGATGACATTTATTGTGCGACACCAGATGGTGTTCCATGGTGTATGCTTTTCGCTGACGACATTATCCTAGTTGCTGAAACAAAAACTGAGCTAAATAGTAAATTGGCTACTGGAAGACTGTTTTGGAAGAAAAAGGTTTAAGGATCAATATTGAAAAGACATAGTATTTATGTTCAAACTTCAGTGGGAACCAAAACGATGAAGATGGAGAAGTATGCATCGAAGGACACGTTCTCCCCTCAAAGGATTGTTTCAAGTACCTGGGGTCTATGATACATAAAGATGGGGGTATAGATGATGACGTTACACACCGTATAAAGGTGGGATGGCTAAAGTGGAGGGCTGCAACTGGAGTTTTGTGTGACAAGAAGGTGCCTCTAAAACTTATGGGAGAATTTTATAGAATGGAATAAGACCAGCGCTGCTGTATAGATCAGAATGTTGGGCAATCAAGAAGGATCACGTAAGGAGGATGGATGCCGCAGAAATGAGAATGCTTCGATGGATATGTGGTAGGACTCTATGGGACATGACAACAAAGTCTGCAATTAGGAAGTCCTTGGGGTGGTGTCTGTATCCGAAAAATTGAGGGAGGGAAGACTACGGTGGTTTGGGCATATCCTTAGGCGACAACCGTCAGATGCGGTCAGAAGGGTAGAGTCGATTACAATCGACAGTGCTAGAAGGAGAGGACGACCAAGGAGGAAGTGGGTAGACTGCTTGAGATATGATTTGAAGGAATTAGCTCTTACAGAGGACATGACCTCTGATAGGAAAGTTATGGAGACACAAGACCAGGGTACCCGAGTAGTGTAACATCTCTGTCTTCTTTTTAATGCCTTTATAGTAATCTCCATGACTTCTACTTTTTATATGTTTCTGTCATTGGAATTTATGAAGGCTTAGAACTAGGATAACGGAGTAGTGTTGCCTTAGTTTAGGATTTAACTCGTTTGACTTTATTCTTTCTTGTAGCTTGCTATCGCTGACTTCAGTGTATCCTTCTCTTCATGTTTCCTCTTTTTAAATTTAACCGGACTTACGTTTATGTCTATAAGCAGGGATTTATTTGCAGGGATTACTTCCCATTACAAACGCGCATATGAAGACTATATATGAAGACTGTTCAACTGTGTATTTATTGATTTATTTATTTATTTATGCATTGTATTTTATTTTTTTTAATTATCTTATTGCCAGAGGTCTTCCACGGAAGCTGCTCTTAATCTGGCATTGGGGGCAGCCTACTCCCCCACCTCCCCCTTATCCCATTGTATATGGGAATATGGTTTTGTTGTTGTTGTTGCTATTCTTTTAGTTTTTCAATCATATTACATAATGAACTGGCATGAGTATTAAAAATAAGTATAATTACACATTTAATTTTTAATATTTATTTATTTTTTAATTTAGTCATAATTTTAATTAAATAAATTTAAATCTTCAATTAAATGTAACACATGTTTCCATTTGATTGGATAAGAAAATTAAATAAAGAAGAACTAGGCATCAAGAGAATAATTAAATTAGTTTTAATTTTTTTATTAATAAATAAAATTTTAATGATTATATATAAAAATTATTTTAAAACTGATATGAACCGTTGAAATAAAAAAGTAAAAAAGTAGTAAATTACCTCATTATAAACAATCAACAAATTATCAGAAAAAATAAGATAAATTTAAAGATGATATTTTTTGGGCTTAATGAAAAAATAGGTGTCAAACGTATATACAAAGCTAAAGTATTTTTCGTTGAAAATAAGTGCTTAAAATTTTCTTCGTTACAATTTTAAGTGCTTACGACTAACTGTCTTTAAAAAAATTGATATCCATTTAAAATGTGACATGTGCCCTTTAATTTAATTTTTGATATATTCTTTAAATTCAAATATAAAATAAAATAAAAATAATATATTTTTAAACCTTATTTATTTTAACTCAAAGTAAAATCTAAGAAAATTTACCATAGATTACTTCTCCCTCTATTTGAAATTGTTCATCTCCTCATATCTTCCTTTCAGTCTCGATTCTCCTCATTCCCATCATGTTTCTAGTGATTTCATAATGTTAAAGTAGGGTTTAGTGTTTTCTTCATCCGATTTGACTTTCTAACAAACCAAAAATCTAAACCAAAAAAATCAATGATTATGATTTATTTCTGATGATGATGAGGATAGATAATTGCAATTAAAAATAAATCCAAACAAGTGAAAAGGAAAATAAAAAATAGAATTGCCAGTGTATAAGACTTAGGACTTGATGTTGAATAGGAGGAGAGCATATACGTTTTTCTCGAGGAAAATGAAGAAGATTCAGGAGATTTGGATAGTAGAAAGAAAATTAATTACTTAGACTCTTTTGACGTTGGTAGCTATGAGATCGATTTGGATGGTAATATTGTTTGTAAGAAGAGTAGTAAGTTTTATTTTGATGCTTTAACTATTGAACTGAGATTTTTAGCAAGAATGAGATTTGAATTTCAACAACAATTTAAGGATGCCCTTCATTTTTATGCAGTAGCTCATAATTTTGATTTTAGATTTGTTTCAAATAGAAAAATAGAAAATTAGGGTCGTGTGTATGGAAAATGAGTCTTTTTGTTATACATTCTTATTGGATAAATCTGATGGGTATTATAAGATCGAGATGACGAGCACTAGTGTTCTATCAATTTTAAGAATAAAAGAGAAAATTATAAGTTGGTAGGGGAACACTTTCTTTCTAAGTTTAGGATTGCACCTAAATTAAAGATTGTAAAGATGCAAAGGCTTGGTAGAGAAGAGCTAAAATTTGACTTAAAGAGGCACTCATGCTTAAAAGCTAGGAAATGGGCTTTAGAAAAGATAAAGGGTAGCGTTGTGCTTGAGTTTAATAGGCTATTTTACTATGTTTCTGTTTTGAGAAGTAATGATCCAAATGGAACATTTGAGCTTATGGTTGAAAGGTCCACCAAAACTGAAATATCAAATTTAGGAGGTTGTATGTGTTTTTTAGTATACTAAAGGAATTATTTAAAAGATTTTGTAGACTTACAATTTCATTGGATGCTTGCTTCTTGAAAGAATTGTATAAAGGTTAAATTCTGTCGATTGTGGGAAAAGATGGAAACAATCAATTTTTATTATAGCTTGGCCATTAGCGGAGGTGGAAAATAATAAGACTTGGGCATGATTTTTACAAAATATTCAGAATGATTTGAACTAGGGTAATGTTTTTTTAATTCGCTTTGATTAGTGATATGTAAAAGGTAGTACAATTTTGTCCCATTAAATTTTTCTATCCAATTAAAAATTTATAAGATTTTTAAACAATGATTCTTATGTTGGTTTTTTTTTGTGGTTGTAAAAGGGGCTGCTTGAAGAGGTTATTCAATGCTTACCAAATGTGGAGCATTAATTTTGTGCTAAGCATATGTATGACAATTGGAAGAAATTGCACAAACATGGTGACCTTCATATGTTGTTTTAGTCATGTCGCAAGGCTATAACTCGTCCTCAATTCAAACAGTACTCTTTAAGAATTGGATAGTTGAAGAAGACAACATTTGCTGACCTAATGACAAAGGACCCACATCATTGGTCCAAAGCCTTTTTCTCAATTAGATCTAAATGTGATATAATTGAAAATAACTTTTTAGAGGCTTTTAATTCGATCATTCTAGGGGCTAGGTTTAAGCCTATAATATCAATGTTTGAGGAAATTAGACATTATGTCATGCTAAGGCTAGTTGAGCATAAGAAGAAAACACTTAACTGGAAAAATAGTTATGCCCAAGAATCGAAAAAAGAAACTTGAAATCCATAAGGGTATTAGTGCATATTGTCATGTAATTAGGAATGTGGCTGAAGGGTATGAGGTCATTTGTCATAAAGACACATTTTTTGTTCATATTAAGGGATGAACATGCACTTGTAGGGTATGATATATAATAGATATTCCATGCCCCCATGTTGTATGTCTCATTTGTATAGGGGAGAATGATTAGAAGATTTGGTACTTGATGCATACAAGAAGAATGCATATGTTGATTTGTGCACTCTTGTCCTGCCTTTGATCCCAAGTAAAAAATTATATAAAGACACAAAAATGGGCAGTCTTGATCCACCATTGAAGATAAACTTACCTAGAAGACCAAAGCAAAAAAGAATAAGAGAAGAATATGAAATGTATAGTGGGAACAAGTGGTTGAGGCGAGGAGAAATTATGGGTTGTAGAATTTGTAGGGTTCATGGACATAATATAAGAACACGTCCAAACAAAATTCAACCAATGTAAGTATTTTTTTTTTAATTAAATCTATTTTTGTATATAAATATATTTTTGTAGTATATATTGACAAATTTTAATTGATAGGTTCAAAGTGGTGGTGCACAAACAAAGTTTGCTCAACCACCAACTCAACCAATACCAACTTCCCCACCTACTCAACCACCAGCTCCAACCCAAGCAACAAATCATTCAATTAAAAGGAAAGTAAAAATAAATAGGACACTGAGATAATCTATGACATCTAGATACAATGTCACAACACACGTGT